AATTTTGACCTCAAGTCAACATCAACAGCAATAATTAAAATAAAAATATAATTTTCAAAACCAATCTATACTCGTTCTTGGTTTTAGCGCGACACCACCGCGTCGCGCAGCTACCCTAATTTTACCAACAGGAGGAAACGTCCAAATATAGATATGGTTTTCATTCTCCGTTACACAGATCACTCATTGTATCGACCAGTCAAATATCACTACGGGAATAGTCAACCAATCAAATTGCGAAATTTACAAAAAGACGAAACCGTTGGATTCAAATGGATTTAAAAAATATGCTGTAAAGCAAAGTGAGAGCTTCATGTTTGTTTAACCATTTTTAACATTCATATAAAAGATAAGTCATGCGAGCCTTCCAAAAAAGTATTGTAAAATAATATAAAAAAAATTTTTATCAATTGTGTAACGATTTTGTGTTGTTTCAACGTTTCCCCTGTTAATTTTACCACAAAGTGGCCCATTATCTAATTTTTATTCTAATGAATTTACATGAATACTCTAATACGTACGTTGTGAAGGGCTCCCGGTACCCCAATTTTTCTTTTTTTTTATAATACTATTATATTTATTGGAAATTAGCCATGTATATAACGGTAAAACTCACCCGAGGTAGAAACTTCCAGAAATACCGTATACTTCCAAATTAAGCACCCCCACATTCTATATTCACCCGAAATTAAGCACCCCCTTTAAATAGTTACTAGGATAAAAACTGGTTTAAACCAGTTTGTGTCAAATCACATTATATCCCGGTGCTTAATTTCGGAAGTATACGGTAGTAATCACAAATTATAGTCCTCGATGTAATTTGTACCATTTTTGGCCGTAGTGCCAGTAATGTCATTTATTCCATTTCGGGCATTAGAGCCATAAATACCATTAAAGGCATTTATGACCTATATGACCTATAGTCCTTTTAGCATAGAAATGACATCTTAAAAACTGTAATTAGTTGGCCTGTAAAAAAGTATATAAGCGAAGCTTCTTTCGCCTGAAATAAAAAACTTCGAAAACATAATCAGTAGAAGTACTCCAGTAATTAAAGTTTGTTTATGTTAGGATTAGCAGGTAGTTGTTTATTATTCAGTATATATTTAATAAAAAGTCAACTAAATATTGTATGATATACACTATTTTTGCTAAATTTGTTGAACCGTAATGTATGTATTAAACATGAAAATAAAAGACTTATAAGTAAAAAATTTAGAAGTTAAGTCAAAAGTTTTTTTCCAAAATGTCTTATTGATCGAAATGCAGTTTTACATTCTGCCAGCTCAACGACAGATTTATCAAGTATTTCATCATATTTTTCATAACTAATACTTGTATATTCGAGAAGCATGGATTTTGCAATTTTAAAAAAGGTTATGTATTTCCGTGTCACCTACAAAATATTTATAAAGTTATACTTTGTTAAATATAATTTTATAAAGATATATATGAGATTTTTTAAAAAATGTTTACCACTGAATCAGAATCAACAAAATATATTATTCTTTCTTCGACTTGGTATTCAAGATTATTATCTTTAAATA